CCCGCTGCTGAGCTAGAGGCTCCCGCCCGCCCGCGCCTTGGGGTCGAGGGCGCCCCGAGGTCAGGGGCGCAGCGCCAGCCCGCCTGACCCCGCGGGAAGGTGAACCAGGCCTGATGCCGACCAGCGGGCCTGCGGAGTCCTGAGAGGATGGAGTGGGGCTGGCTCCTGGGAGGGGATGCCTGTTCTTAGGGCCTTTCTCAGGAAGCAGAGAAAGCTGACCCCTGTACACCCCACCACCGTCCCTGCAGGCCTTTCCTGGGGAGAGGCCCCCTTCAGTCCTCTGGGGAGTCTGGGAGTCAGGGGAGGTGCCGGGAAGCCATGCCTCCGCCACCCCTCCCCCCTTGAGTCCTCTGGGACTTGGGAAGAGAGGACCTTGAATCCAGGGGGAAGCTGGCAGCGTTTTGGACTGGGGTGTTCTGGGGAACCCGTGGAAGCATGGTTCAAGAACCGGGCTCTTCTTTTGAAAGAAAGGGTATTCAGCTGGGGGTGCGGGTCTCTTACAAGGTGGCCTGAGACTCAGCTTGCGAGGAGCGTGTGTGTCCTGTTTGGATCTGTGCAGTGGCACTGAGGGAATGCGTCCCTTGAGTGGGGCCAGGGATGTGTGAGCAGCACGTGTGTTCCTCTACGACAAGCGTTTGTCTTTTGGTTCCCGTGTGAGAGTGTGTGTCCCTGTGTGTGTCTAAGTGGGAATGACAGTGCACAAGGAGGTCGGGACAAGACTGCGTCTGGACAGGGATCTGGAAGCGAGAGGGTGAGGATTCCGAAGTCCTGTGATTCCTCATTCTACCCCCTCCTCCTCTGAGGGGGCGTTTCTGCTTAAGGCCTCGACCGAGGCGCTGAGGGCTCAAGGGTATGATGTGAATATGGATTTGTGGGTGTGGACTGCTGTGTGTGTGTCAGAGCAGGGTTATGATTGCCTGCTGTGTAACCAGGGTGTGATGTCTCCCTGCACCATCCCATCTATTGACTGGCCAAGGCGGGAAATGGAGGCTAGAGTCCCTGTCTAGCCACCTCCTAGCTCTAGGCCTGACTCCAGTTGGAAAAACAAAAAACAAGCCAGCTGCCATTTGGGGGGCTCCTTGGGCTCATCAGTTAGCCAGGGACAAGGCTCCAGCTTGGGAAACCCAACAGGATGATATCTTAGCCTCCTGTAGAGTAAGGCAGGGCTGGACCCCAATCCTGGGTCTCCTGGTAGTGACAGACCTGGCAGCCCTATGAGCCACCTGCCCACATTTCCTTGCTGCTTCTCCAGCCCCAGCTCGCGCCCAGGCTGGACCAAGCCTCCTCAAATCCTGTGCTTACTAGACCTTCAAGCGTTAGTCAAAACTCAGATCCTGACCTCACTGTTCAGAGCCTCCACTGGCTCTGGAGTCCCTCTTCCCACTGTGTGGGGGTGAAGCATGGAACGTGGAGCTATTTTGGGGAGAGGCGGAGACTGAGCTCCATCAGGACAACACTGAATCACTGTGTGACCTTGGACAAATCACTGCATCCCTCTGCCCTTAGTGTTCTACTTCCAGGGTTGTCTCTCTAAGCTGCCAAGTAGGGAGGGAAAGGAGGAAGGCTCAGTAGAGACTCCTGAGTAGAGGCAGGTGCTCTGGGCGTCTGGATTATCACCGTTGCCACCATGGCAGGGTGGATGCTGAGCACAATCCCCTGATGGCATTTCTTCAGGCAGTTTGAGGAGCAAGCAAGGCCTGCCTGCAGGAATGGTGCTGTGCCATTTCTGGGATGAAGGTTCTGAGCGATAATCCTTTTCTAGTGACAAGAGCCCCAAAAGCAAAACTAAAACAGATTTTGGTTGAGAAAATGGAGTGAATAAAAGCTCACATTCCCTAGGAGGAGGGAAGCACTGTGGCTCTTCTGATCATTTCTCCCCCAGCCAGATCTCCCTGCAGGCATAACCCTTCCCTGGCAGCCCCACCTGTAACAAAAATAATGAAACCCACGAAAAGGGAAAGGAAAGTGGGCAGAGTGCCAGGCAGGGACTATTGTCTGCTCCCAGCAGCAGCCCAGGCGCTGGGTGGCTGTTGTGATGGAGGTCTTTCTGGAGGGAGCATGAACGATGGCATGGGAGGCAGAATGCCCCTCTCAAGAGCTGGGCTCAGGAAGGGGCCATGCTCTGAGATTCCCTCGCCCTCCGTTTCCTGAAGCCCAGGGTCAAGGGTCTGGTGGGATGTGGACTGGAGCACTCAGCCTAAGAGAGGTCAAGATCTTCATCAGGATGGAGGGAGAGAGCACTAGGGTCTTATCCCCCACTGAAGGGTTTCTTCTGGGTTCCATCCCCCATCTCACCCCTCCTTGTAGACTACATTTCCAGTCTCCTAAGGCAGAACCAGAAGTTGGAAGTTGGAAAGGTACTCCAAAGGCACCAGGAGAAGCTGCAGAGTAGGGGGAGGAGGAGTCTGGAGGTCCAGTGCTGTCCCTGGCTTACTTGCGGTGTTGGGAGGGGTGGGTTTTCCACTGGCTCTTTGCCCTTGGTAGCAGGTCGCTGGACCCCTCTGCCGCAGTTTCTCCAACCCTCCCTTGGAACGGGGACCTCAGCAGCCCTTGTGGGTTCAAACAGATTCCCCACTCCCTGCACTCCCTGAGTCCTAGGAGAAAAGAGCAACCACCAGGAAAATATGACATTGCTTTTAATTTCTTCCCTTTTTTGTTTTTTGTTAAGACCATTTTCCTTCCATTTTCTTCAAAGAAATAAAGAAAAGTCCTGAGGAAAAAATAGTGGTCCTCTCTGGAGCATTCATATCAACCACAACCCCAGACAGCTTCCTCCCACCCACCGACCTGTAGCTGCTGCCCCCTACATGGGCCATGGACTGGCTGACAGTGCTCTCCCTGCCCCCTCAGCCTCCTGAAGCATCGTCCCCATTGTACAGTTGGGGAGACAGATGTCTTGAGAGAGTGGCAGGTGAAGCGTCCAGGGTCACACAGTGAGACAGAATGGAAAAAGGGACTGGGCAGGGGTGGACACTGGTCATCTGATGGAGCTCATCTCTAAGCTAGGAACTGTGCTAACTCTACATGCTTTATCCCATTGAATCCTCAGGTCCACCCTGTGATTATGATACTCTCATAATCCCCACATTATAGGAGGGGAAACTGAGGCCCTTAGAGTGAGGTCATACAGTTAGTAAGTGGCAGACCCTGGATAAGACCCAGGGCTGCCTGACTCCACCATCCCTGTATCTAAGCATTCAATACGCTTCTTCTGTTGGTGAGATGTCAGCAGCCCCTCTCTACAAGGAGGGGGGCCTGTGGAATGGCAAAGACCCTTCTCTGCTGGCCCTAAGATTCCTTGTCCAGTTTGTTTGGCTTCACGCAGGGAGCACCCGCTGGGTGCTGTGCTGTGAGACTCCCTGGGTGGGCTCCTGGAGCCCGGGGGGCGGGAGTGGCCTCCTTTAGAGGCCCTGAATGGATCAACTTTGCCAGGATCTGGTCACTGTGGTCCCTGGCCCTCTGGACTTCTGACCATGGGAGTGGGGAGTAAAGGGTTAAGTAGGCTCCTGGTATTTGTGGGGTAAACTTCAGAGAGCGAAGAGGGCTGGGCCCTTGGGGCTGCCCCCTGAAGTTCTCGCCCCTGGCCCAGGTGACTTAGGGCAAACGCCCAGCCTTCTGCCTTCTGCCTAGAACCCAAGCTCCCACGGGAGGACCCACCGCCTCCTTCAGAGCAAGAGCCCCTGGGGAGGCTCAGAGCCGGGAAGCGACCCCCCACCGCAGCAGAAAGAAGCCCAGCGGCAGCCAGCTGTTGGGGGACAGATGTTGGGGGAGCAGAGCGAGGAGTTTGGGGGAGGGGCCTCGGCCCAGACCTCCGAGGCGCGGGGCGTTTTAACCTCTTAATTGCTGGTTCTGTTTTTTTTTTTTTTTTTACCCCCGGCTTCTCCTAAGAGTTTGCCTAGAAGGAAAGGAAAAGAAGGGATAGGCAGGGGTCCACCTACAGTCTCCCTTGTTTCTTTACGGAATCTGAGGCCTCGACGGGAGCGTCTGATCGTAAAGTGAGCGAATTCTAGTTTGAGCTTCGGCACCCTGGCTCGCTCCCTTCGGAATTAACATGGGCCTTCCCACTCTGGGCTTCGGTTTCCTCGTGCAGAAAAGGGGTGGCTTAGTGACGGGGGACTGGGCCGTAGTGAAACTCGGATGCGCTCTTTTGTTGAGGCGAATTCACCCAACAAATAATGACTGCGCGCCTGCTGAGTATCCGGGGAAAGCAGGCCCGGAGAGGGCGCCTTACTTGGTCAAGGGCGCGCAGCTCCCCGCGCAGCCTGGACCACCAGGCTGTCGGAGGGGGCGCGCGACGGCCACCCTAACCCCTTTCAGCAGTTGTCCGGCACCTCTCCATGCCCAGAGCGCCTCCACCCTCTGCGCCTTTGCGGGTCGGCTCGCGCCCGAACCCGGCGAGGGGCGCGCTAGCGGCTGGGGCGGGGGCGGTAGCCGCGCCCCCTAATCGCTCTGGCTCCGGGTTCACAGCTCCCGAACACCCTTTTCTTGAAGTTTCGTTTTCTCCGCCGCCAATTTCGCTGCTTCCGGAACCCAGTGGCTGGGGCCTCACACAGCCCGCCTGGGAAGGAGTCTGTCGGTCCGTAAGCCAGCTCTTCCCCTGGTTTGTGCTACCGACCGCTGCCCTGCGTGGAGAACGCGCTGCGGGAGCGGCCTGCAGCGCATCCAAAACTGCGCAGTGACCCCACCCCCCGCCTCCATCCAAGGATTCAGTTCGCGAGGATGATTTCGTTGACTGGGCCGAGCCACTGCGAGCGCAGGGAGATCCTAGGACTGGGGACAGCTCCTGGCATTTGGGGTGACATGTTGGGGATGGGGGGGCAGTTTGAGAAAGTTGCTGAAAGGTCACTCGCAGTGCGCACCTGGGATCAAGGGGACGTGAGCAGCAACGTGGGCGCACAACGCGCCGCGGTGTCTCCGGGACTCGTGGAGCCGGAAGGTCGGGGCTGCGCGGAGTGCCTTGGACGCGCCCCTGGCAGAGAATGGGGAGTCCCGCACGGCCCAGCTCGAGGGCCCGGGGTGCTACACGCGTGGCGCACGGGCCGCGGCGCGCCCAGACCGGAGCGGAGGCGAAGCTGCTGGGCCTGGCCTCTGAAGGCCGGACCTTCCCTTCCCTGGCTCTCCCCACCCACTGGGAGCGCGCTCCCTGACTTTCCGAAACCCCCTGGACCCCAAGCCCTGCGCGCCCGTTTCCAGGACCCGCGGCCCAGAGTGAGGACACGGCGGGGTCGGACCAGTCCCTTTCTTGCTCATGACCCTGGACCCAGATCTTATCATCTCCAGTCTGGCTGCTCCCGAAGAAGATTCGAGGACCTTTCTGCGCCTCGAAGCGGACCTCAACCCCGACCCCACTCTCTCTGTGGCCTCGAGGTAGTCACTGGCCCGCTCTGAGCTTCCGATTCCACGTGTGCAAAGTGGGTGCCAGAGTCCCCACCTCAGGCGGTTGCGGCGAAGTCGAGGGCGCGCAGTGCAGACTTTGCACCCAGGACCCTGGACTGCAGCAAGGGCTCTACCAGAGCGACAGCCGAACCGGGCTGGCCCCGTGGCGCGAATGGACTGGGGTGCGCAAAGTGGGGTCTTCTCCCCTCTCTTGAGGGATTGTGGGCGGAGAACTCAGGCTGTGCTGGGCTCTGCCCCGGGGAAGCGGAGTTTCCCAAGTAGGGAACCGCCTCTGTTTAAGGCGCGTTTGACCCAGGGAGCAGCCGGGCCGAGCTAACAATTTCTGGTCGGAGACAGTAGCCTTGGGCTTATGAGGGGGGATGCTGTAACCAGAGCGCATTTGCTGGGCTGGTTCCCCTCCCCCACGCGCGCAGCGTTTCCCACGCGGGGAAGTGTGCAGGCCCTGGGGACACAGAGGCAAACCTTGGTAGTCTCCCAGGAATGCCAGGGGTGGAAGGGAGATCCCAGGAAGCAGACTTCTACAAACCGGTGGGATCAATGGGGAGAGGGCGGTGCCTGGAGCTGGGGCACTTTCCGTGGAGGGTGAGGGCATGTGGGAAAAGGGGTCAGCGGGGCAAAGGCCTGGGGTGGGAAAATGCTTCAGAGGGGGCCATGAAGACCTGGGAATGACCTTCCATTGTGGCTGGGACTCCTACTTGGGTTTGGGGTGGGAGAACTTGAGGAAGGTTGGGGAGGAGGAGATGGGCCTGACAGGATGTGGTCTGTTGGGCTTTGTAAACTCCAAGGGTCTTGGACCAGATCCCAAGGGTAGAGTGGAGCCACTAAGAGATTTTAAGCAGGGCAGGACAGGATTCAGTATGCATGCTGGAAACTGCGCTGTGGCCGCTCTGTGGAGGATGGGTGGGCAGGGGTGGCCCTGGGAACAGGGTGACCAGGGCTAAGACTGGCAGAGAGGGGTGCATGGTGGGAGGCTGGCTTAGGAGGCGTCAGTGGAAATGGAGAGGGGGAGATGGGTCCCAGACATACTTAGGAAAGGAACCAACAGTGCCTCATGGTTGGTTGGATGTGCGGTTGAGGAGAGAGAGGGGTGTATGATTTAGGTTACTAAGCCTGAGCGGCTGGATGAGTGGTGGCACTAATCTCTGAAATGGAGTGTGCGTCAGAGGAAACTGAGGCTCAGGGGGTTCTCCGGACAGGGTCACATCCACTTAAAGAACAAACCTTCCCTGGTGCTCAGGGGCCAGGCCTTGGGTGACTTCTGGGACAGGGCAGAGCAGACTGCTGCTTTCAGAGGACTCCCAGTTTGGTGGTGGAGGCAGTGGCACCCAAATAGCGGTGCTGTAAAGGGGGAGGGAGAAGGGAAAGAGGCAGAATCAAGAAAGCCTAAGGGGAGGAGGGCTTTTGATCTAGGCTTTTGGTCACTAAAATTTACGGTTAGAATGTCACCAGGCTCCAGAGTCTGGGACTAGCTGGTTACTTAATAGACTGCCAAGCACTCAACACATAGTAGCAGTCATTGCTGTTGTCATTTAGTTCAGCTCAGGGTGGGGGAAATGAGAACTCAGAGGGGTCAAACAATTTGCTCAGCGTCATCAAGCCAGTAATGCACGTCTGTCTATTCCGCTGAGAAACTCTGAGCTTCTCTACCACTGTGTTTATTCACCTTGGGTTCCTGTCCTTGCAGGCTGTGTGACCTTGTGCAAGTGACTTACCTCCCTGGTTCCCATTTTGCTCATCTGAAAAATGAAGATTAACTGGGATATGAAACACTTAGAATATAAAACACTTAGAATCTTGCTGGGCAGGTAGTGAGAGCTCAAAGCTTTGCCTATTATTATTATTATTATTACTATTACTATATTTTCCCTAACACTTATGATATACTTTAGCAAGCAGATTAATGTTATATACAAATGTAAGTGATCACTGTAGAAAATTTGGAAAATTCAGAAAAACACCAAGAAGAAAATAAAAAACGCCCACCAGCTCACTTTCTAGGTGGATCTTGTCTACAGGAGGGGGAGAGTGGTGGATGCAGGTGTAGGGAAATTCATTAGCAAGTGACAGCCCTGAGGCCAGAAGCCTGGGTAGGGGCAGGCTACTGGATTTGGAGGGAGGAAGGGTGGTCTACTGAGCATCGCCATCCCCTTCCCTGCCCTGGTGTCCCACAGCCGATTTGGGACCAAGTGCGCACGATGTGGCCGACAGATCTACGCCAGCGACTGGGTGCGGCGGGCCCGCGGCAACGCCTACCATCTGGCCTGCTTCGCCTGCTTCTCCTGCAAGCGCCAGCTGTCCACGGGCGAGGAATTTGGCCTGGTTGAGGAGAAGGTGCTGTGCCGAATCCACTACGACACCATGATCGAGAATCTCAAGAGGGCTGCAGAGAACGGTACCCAACCTGCCCTGACCAGCACCTGGTCACACCTCTGCCCTCAGCCCTACCCCACCCCAGCACCCCAGGTAGTGCCCACACTCCTCTAGGGACAGGTGCTCACCTTATAGCCCAGAGTCTGTGCACGGAGCCCAGACTTCTGACTCCACCATTTGCTTGGGAGTTGGAAGTCACTGCCTGTCCCTACAACTGTGTTTTCTCATCTGTAAAATGGGGCTTATGATACGACCTTCGTCCAAAGAGAGACAAGCCATTGTGTTGTGTTAAAGCCAGGAGGCAGTCCATGAACCCTAGAGAGGATTCTCATAATGGGACAGCCTACTCCACCTTTGGACAGCGCTGGTTGGCCTCAGGGCTCATCCCCTCCAGCTGTGGAATATTCTATTATCCTTACAACAACCCTAGGAAGTAGCTGGTGTATCCCCGTTTTACAGGTGAGGAAACAGGCAGAGGTTATCTGCAGTATGTGACTTGCCAAAGGTTACATACTAGCATGTCTACCTGACTCCAAAGCCCAGTTTCTTAACTACTATGCAATACCACCCCATTCCCAAGCTCCGAGGCCCCCTAATCAGACCTCACCAAGCAGGGGAGGCTGTTGGGATGTTGCTCCCTCTATGAGTTTTGTTTTTCCATTGAAATAACAGGCACCCCAATCCTTGTGCTGCTTGCTCTCATAGGAGACATTAACGCCACAAAATGTCTGTCCCATCCACAGCACCTTTTGGGAGGGGTAAGGACCACCCTGTCTCAATTCCCAGCCTGGGGACTAGTTAGGAATCCCCAGAGTCTTCCTGGCCAGGGCCACAGTAGAGCCATCCCTTCCTCCTGCCAGGATTGGACTAAGTGGGCCTAGGTAGGGAGCAAATGAATCTGGGGTGCTACATCCACCTGCAGTGAAGTTGGGATGGCATCCCGGGAGTCACAGGCTTCCCCACACTATGGTGCATCAGTGACCCCAGGCTCCTTCCACACCCGGGCCAACCAGGACCCTTCCTAGTCACAGTCTTGCCAGTTACACACCTGCTGTCCCAGCCAGGCCCCACCTCAGGCTCCTACCATGCAGAGGAGTTTGAAGGCTTGGAACCTTGGATCTTCTTTACTGACCAGCCCTCAGTTTTGGCTACTGTTTTACTATTTAAACTTAAACACACACACACACACACACACACACACGCACACACACACCCCCATCCATCAGAAAATTTTTAAAAGATGGTTAAACAAAAAGAAAATAAAAATCACTCCAAATGCCACCACCCCTCATATATTAGTGTGTCTTCCCAGATTTCTTTTCTGTGTATGTATGTTCGAGTATTTGTCCTGTTTTTTTCCTCAACAGAGTATTTTCCTAATTTAAAAAATGCAATGAATTGTGAACAGTGGTGGAATTGCTAGTGATTTTAATTTTCTTTTTTGTGCTTATCTGAATTTTCTGATAAGGAGCATGTACTCAGAAAAAATGAGATATTAAAAAAAATGGGAGTATATTTAGTGTGATTGTAAAAGTAGTATAAGTGGAAAGATTAGCTAATATATAGTCCAGTTAACAAAATTAAACCTTAGAGAAGTAAGGGGACATAGGATTGTAGAAACCTCCAAAGTTCCAGAAATACTGAAAGTAGAACCTCCGTAATCGCACTCCTCCGGGGAACCACTGCTAACACCTTCCACCCGTTTTGCTTTCATCAGTTTTTACCAAATTAGGATCCCAGTTCTGGAGCCCGCTTGCTCGCTATTTTCGTAAACCTTTGGTTTCTCCAGTTTAGCTCAGGGCGCTGGAGCCAGCAGCCGCCAAGGCGCTAGAAGGGGCCGCTCGCCGCGGGGGCTTCCCTCCCGCTGAGCCTCAGTTTCCCCCGCGTCAGCGCGAGGTTGTCACCTGTCCTGGGGCGCACCGAAAAGAGACGCGTCTGATGCTAAGCGGACGTTCAGAAAAACAAGAGCCCCTTCCCCGAGGACCGAGTTCAGACCCTAGGACCCTGGGTCCCCGCCCCCAGCCAGCTCTGCTCCCGGCCCGTCCAGGGACCAGCTCCCCCGCCCCGGTCCTTTCCAGGCTGCGGTTCGAGGAGGCGCGGACGCGCGGTCAGCCGCTTCTGTCGCCCCCAGGGAACGGCCTCACGCTGGAGGGGGCGGTGCCCTCGGAGCAGGACAGCCAGCCCAAGCCGGCCAAGCGCGCGCGGACCTCCTTCACCGCGGAGCAGCTGCAGGTACCGGGGAGGCCGCGAGGGGCGGCC